ATGAGGACCGAATTGGGCTTGGCAAAGATTTAAATTCGAAGTGGGCTGGACTTTGCTTCACAAATCAAAGGAAATATAACTTGGGCCGGACCTAAAAGAGACTTTGCTGCATTTCATTTTTTCTCAATCAAGACCGGACCTCTTTGGCTGAAGTTTTCTATGGGCTGAAAAATCAAATACATATTTGTTTGATTAGCTTCAAAGGACCTGGGCTGCATTTATTTCTACATGGCCGGATTTACAACTTGCAATGGACTTGATGGATTAAAGTATTTGGATTAAAGTATTTGGACTTGCAATGGTTGATTGCTGCAGAGTTGATGGACCGGATCTGATTTCTTGTCTGTGAAAATCAAATGAAAATCAATGAAGCCTCTTGTGATTAATAGAGTAATCAAAAAGCAAATTCAAAGCGTGTGAGATAGTGCTTGGGGGCTCAAGACAAAGTCCAATGGCCCCTCTTAAATTATTGAAGATTACTATTAAATAGGGGTAGAGAGTGAGGGGTAGAGGTGTTGAAAATTTTTGTACTGTAACTCCTTTGGAGAGGAGGGCTACTCTTTAATTGGCAGAAAGGCCCTTCCAAAATTGTAACTTTTGTGTGCAATTAATAATAATAATTTTTTCACCACCTTTAATTTTCTCTCTCTCCTTCGTTGGACCGAGATGAGCATGAAGATGAAGATGGAGAATTATTTGAAGGTTCCTGCATTTCTTTTTCTCTTTTATTGCTTATTAGTTTAGACTTTATTTCCATGCTTGTAATTAAGATTTTATTTTCTTGTTAAATAGCCAAGAGGCTTAGAACCCTCTTCCCTAGATTTAATTTCAATGCTTATAGAATAGAATTAAATTTCTTGCTTTAATTATTGCAATTTTATTTCATAGCTGTTAGATTTACACTCTTATTTTGGTAGTTAGATTTTAATCTTCTTTGTTAGTACTATTTCACCTTGAGGGCTAAACCTCTTGGGATTTAGTTTTGTTCTTTTGTTCATTTATTTTGTTTTGATTCGCTTTAGGCTAGAACCCTCTAGGGGACATCACTCTTTTCTAAGAAGTGGGTTCAATTGTAGCATTCCCATATCTATAATTGAATCCACCATCTTTAATTTCTTGCATTTTCTTTTATTCTTGAATTTTATTTTTTTTTATTCTTGATTTTTATTTTTATTTTCCTTCTTGCCTTATTGATCATATTTATTCTTTGTCATATCCACTCTCACTTATATCTCGTGCCGATTTACACACTATCACTTCCACTCTCTCTATCTCTCCACAATCACATTCACTTATCACTCCTACTTGTCACACACACAACATAAGAACCGATTTTATATTTTCTCCTACAAAACACCTTCCTCGTGGGATCGATATCTTAAATACTATAACTTGACACGGTTGTGCACTTGCAACCTTTTTGGTACATGTTTATGCCGCATCAGGAGAGCCCGCAGTCTAGACTGCATCTCTGAAGTTTGTATTCTTCATAGTCGATTGATAGCCCGCCTGAGGATGCGCTCGCCCAGCAACCAAGTCAAAAAAGAAAAAGAAAAAAAGAAAGAAAGGTGGGAGCAGTTGATTAAATGTCCACAAATTGGAGAAATTCGCCACAGCATTAGCCCATGACAGGAGGTGAATCTTCCTTCTACTATCTGCCTCACCCCATAAGAATATGCGCAACTTTTAGTACAAGTTACCCAAGATAAATATTGGTCATGCCATAACTTAAATTTTTTCAAGAAGCTCCATTTCACCTTCTCGAAGAGCATAAACAATGAACAGTAGTTTGTGTGCTTGTTCTGTTATAAATTTACCCTCAATCATTTGAAGCTTTAAGAACTTGGACAAAGAATATTTTTCAAGACCGAGGTCTTCAATATTATACTTTATGTGCAGATCATCATATAGTGCCTTTATAGTGGCCAAAGAAGAACAATGGATATCGAAGAGCACATTGAACATTGCCAACAAAATACATCCTCTGGCTATTTGATCCTTCTTCGTCCACTGTGCAATTTTATTTACACTATTAGAATCTTTTTCATCGAGTTTTGGGCAATCTGTCAGTATCATTGCTAACAATTCCTGTCGTCAGTCAAAACTTCATACGTTGTTACCAACGTTTGAAGAACTAACCTGCGAACTTTTCTGACATTTTAGACATGTTCATTTTAGGGGTAAAGGCACCTGAACCAACTCCTGAAAGAGAAGACATAACTCCAGACAATAATAATTTTAAGATTGCTCGGAAAAAATAAGAATAAAAACAGATCCAAAATTAAACAAAACAAACCACACAAGAATGAAAGAAAAGAGTAGAGTGTTAATAAAAACATTTCAAATAGACTTAAAGTTCGAGATACTTTACAAACTTACCGTATCGCCTTCTAAACGGAGGACTGACCTTGAAGAAATTATGTCCTGCCTACATTAGCATTGGGTCTGCACAATACTTCCGAGGATGAGACTGCAGCAGTCCAAAGAAGCGTCTCTTCTGGTGAACACCTCAATTACAACTTTAGTTCACCAGAATCTTCGGTACTAACAACTAATAGAATTGTAAAAAGACAAGAGAAGAATTTATTTTTCTATGTGTTTTAAATAAATGGAGAGTCCCATTTATAGGGTTCATGAGAGCTAAATGATTAGACAAAGCTTTGAATGTCAGTTATTGCAATGTTTGTAATATCTGTAATAACTATGATTCAAGTCTTGTAACATTTGTAACGTACGTAATGTTTATACTAGTTTAAATATAGCACATGTAAAAGGAGCACACGCCAGTGCACGTGCTGGGCCGCGCCCCTGGCCCATGCGCAAGAACACGCACACACGAGCCCACTCGCACGTGCCCACTCGTGCGTGCCCGCTTGTTTCCTCACACGCTCACTTATATATAGGGGTGTCCAAACGGGCCAGCCCGGGCAGGGCAAAACCAGGGCTCAGACCCAAGCTCGGGGCACACCGGGCAAGGTCCAGGCCTGGACGGATCTGAGCGGGTCGGGCTCAGGGCTGGCCTGGGTTTTTTTTTTTGGTTTTTTTAATTTTTATTTTTGTTGTTTTTATTTCTTTAAATTTTCAATAATACATAACTAAAAATTAAATAAAATTTTAATAAAAAATCATATTATTATTTATTAATTATTTGAAATTACATAAATTATAAATACAAAAATTATAAAAATTAAAATAATAAAAATAACTTCTTTATTAATAATTAGTAAATTATTTAAAATTATAAATTTATTTTGGAATTCGTCGCATCATAATAGATGAGTAATCCCAACTAGGTTGACACCTACTTATCTATATCTCTATCATTTGCAACTGTTTTCAAAATAATTTATTATAAATTTTTAGCTAAGAAATAAAAATTATAATTTGATGAATATTGTTTACTCTTTATATCTATCTGCTAGTATTTTTAGCTAAGAAATAAAAATTATAATTTGATGAATATTGTTTACTCTTTATATCTATCTGCTAGTCTCAACTCTTCAAATTTATCTTCAATACTGATGAATATTGTTTACTCTTTATATCTATCTGCTAGTCTCAACTCTTCAAATTTATCTTCAATACCAGCCATCTGATCGATGTCTTGCGTTCTCTTCTTGTACCTCTACTAATCCTATAAGCACATGACCGCCTGTACAGTATACGGATCTAACAATGTCCTGTGGTCGTCGATCAAACGTCTTGTTGTGCTGAGGGCGGATTCCGAAGCTACCGTGGAAACATGCACTATCAGTAAGTCACAAATCATGATGGAAAGTATAGGATATGAAATTGTTCCATATCTTTCCACCATTGCAAAATATCTAAACTATTATTTTGATATTTAATTAATATTGCAGTTAAATATTGATCAATTTTATAAACCTCCACTGATGATCTAAGTCTAGATCCACCAGTTAGCTCAGCTACCATTGCATGCCTATCAAAACTTACAATTTTTCCCGACTTGATATCATAAAAGCAGAAACTGTAGGCTGATGTGTAGCTACACCATATTTAGCTGCGTACTCATCATGATCTTTAAAATAATTTCTAATAATATTATGATGAGTAGTAGCAGTAATGGTTTGACCATCATTAGTGTCTATAATTATATTACCATACAAGAAATTTAACAAACTTCGAAGGTCAATATCCTTCATACACGGATCAATAAGAACCCACAAGCCAAAAATAATAGGAATAGGCATAAAATATTTATTAAATTTACTTTCCATTTAAAAAATTATATTTCTAAAATAATTATTCGTACGATAATTATTAAAAAATTTTGAATATTTAAAACTTGTAAAGCAGCTAAAGTAATGGTTGGATAATAATAGTCAGATAATAACATTGTAGCATCATAAAAAACTTATAACATTCTTTTAAATTACTTATAATTGTCCATTCATCTTTAGTTATTCCATACATACTACCAGAGCTAGAACTAGAAGTATAAAAAGCAATAAAATTATTTATAATTTCTTTATATTCTATTGCTACACTTACTATTGCATAGATAGAATTCCACCTAGGGTCAACATCTTTTAGAATTAGTCTGAGTTTTAAATTTTTTTCTTTTACAGAATTAATTCCATCTTTTAATTCTTTGTTCAAAAGCATTATGAGCATAAGATATTGATCTAACATTTTCTATCATGGGTTTAATTTCACCAAATGTACTATTTAAAATATGACAGACATATCTACTATGAAAAAGATCACCACGACATGGCAATAGCAGAGATGTTTTAGTATAATCAACAACTACATTATTATTAGTTGTATTATCTAGTGAAAAAGAAAATATTCTTTCTGATATTTGTAATTTTGTAAGTTCTTCAATTATTAAATTTTCAATATTAATACCAGTAAGTGACTGTTCAAATACAATAAAAGAAATAACTCTTTTAAATATTTGTCAATTTTCATCAATCAAGTGTGATGTGATACATAAATAACCAGTTTGTGCTTTAAATGTCCAAATATCAGAAGTTAAAGAAAATTTACAGTTTAAACTTTGAAAATAAGAAATTATTTTTACTTGTTCCTCCTGATAATATTTTAAAATATCACGTTTACAAGTTTGATGAGAATTTTTTTAAATGCGGGGTAAAAACCATCTGTAAATGAATCATTAAATTCATCATCTTCTACTAATTTAAAAGGAATGTTTTTAAGAATGATAAACCTGATGACGCATTTCCTAGCTCGGACTGCGTCATAATTCCAATTACCGAGACTACCAGAATATGAGGATTTGAAGAGCATAGATTGTCGAATATCACCTTGAGGCGTCTGACCTTTGTTGTGTTTATCTAAATGATGTTTGAGGTGGTTGGTGTCGCTCTTATGATGAGCTTGGAAAATATAGCCGCACAATGCACACTAAACCTTCTGGGTGAGAAACCTACCGTGTTCATCCCTATTGACGTCTACCTTCTCGAAAAAATTCCACACATCGAATCTCGGCCTTTTAGGAGCTCTTGGTGTAGTAGAATTATCACCATCGGATTCGGAATCAACATCGGTAGGAGTAGGAGTAGTTGTACCTCCTGTAGTAGGACTCATTTCGAGAGTTGGGTTTTGCCATTCATTATCAGATGAGGAAGCCATTTGATTAAAGAATTAGAGAGCTAAAGCGATTATTAGAGAGTATAGGAGAGTATAAGAGAGTATTAGAGAGACGTAGATGAGTTTTGGATGAGAAAAATAAATAAAAACCCCCTCTATTTATAGAGGCAGACCCCTAGACAAATGACCAAAATAGCGTTAAATTTTGACCGTTTTTTTAACCATTTTTTGGAGTATTTTGGTCAAAAGGCCAAAAATGGTCGTTTATGGTCGTTACGACCAGGCCGGACCGGCCAAAATGGTCACTTTTGTGACCGTTATGGCCAGTCCGGGCCGGGTCGACCGGCTTTTGTCATTAAACAGTCACTTAAGTGACCGTTTGGGCTGGGCATGCCCAGCAAGTCTGGGTCGGGTCAGGCCCGATACAGGCGCCGAGGAGACGGTCCGAACTCGGGCCCGGAAACCGGTTTGGCCCAAACCCAGGCCCGAGCTGGCCACCGGGATTTGGACACCCCTACTTATATACCAACACAAATGTACAATTCTAACACCAACTTTATACCAAATACAACACGTATGTAAGCTTGAACCAATTAAAATGCACTCAATTAGTCAATGTTGGACTAAAACCCACATACTACTAATTAAACACATTTTAATTTTCATCTATGAAATCCAACCATGTAAATAGTATCTTGCCATAAAATTCCTCCTTTATTCATTTATATCATCATGTTTTTCATGGGGAAGGGCTCAAAACCACCTGCTGGTATGCGGGCGGTGCAGATAGGATGCATACTCAAGCAATTGTAGAACATCATAAATTTTTTAGTTATTACAGATATTGTTTATCAAATATCTTAAGCTTCATGAAGTCTAAGTTCACATGTTAAGACATTGCCAACATGATGCTATTATTCAGTAGAATCCACCGGGCTTTGTACCACTTGGTTCATGCTGGTTTCCTTCGAGCTTATCTGGATTCACTAAAGCAACAGAGTTCCCTGCAAATAAATAAATAATCAAATAAAATTTGAAAAGCATCACACCAGGGGGGAGGGGTAATGAAATACAATCATCAATAAAACAGTCATGATTTAATCAAAAATGATGTGTATCAAACTAAACTATTTATTGTCACTATGATGTCAGAGACCATTGAAATTAAAAAAAGGGAAAAGAATTTTATGTTTATCATTCATTATGAAGAAAAAGATAATACCTCATATTACATACCTTGCAAGTTCTTTGAAAGGAAAACTTTAATTAAAAAAAAGAATCCAATTATAAACAAAACTCCTAAATTAAGAAGATCCTTTAACATATGCATTGAATCTATAAACCTCTATTGATGGCAACAATATTATTGCTAATCCTTTATCTCACTGCTAATGATTCATGAGAAAACATACTCTCAAAATTTTATAATAGATTTTCTTCACTAGCCAACTGGTAATTAAAGGAATCCATGTCCTGATTTTATCGATGTAAAATAGGAAGTATAAGAATGAGTATACGGGCATAAAACTTTTTGCTTTTCTTGAATGAAACTGAGCATGATTCACTGGGCAGGTTTCGTCCATATTATCTATAGGATTCACATACCATTTAAAATTGACAGCCAATTCTCAAGTTAATTATGTTTAATAGAGAAAATTTGTATTCACTTTTGATTTGGCAAAAAGAAGGTATTGTCAAATGTGGCATCTTAAGTTTCTAGAGAAAAGATTCACAAAAAGAGTTTCCTATAATACTCACAACAGAAAATGGAAATAAATACCCATGAAGACTTTTACCATTAATTTAAAAACGATCATTCAGTATGACACCTACAAACTAATTGAACTAGAAAATAGAAGCAACATTTTACCTAAGGGTCCGGGACCGGGACCAGGCCCAAACCCGATCGGGCCCGAACTCAGCCCGGGCCGGGGACTAGCCCGGAATACCCGGGCTGATTGGGCTCTGGGTCCGAGCCCGGGTTGTCTTGGTGGAGCTCAGGCCCGGCCGGTTCTTATATATAGATAGTATTAACTATATTTATATTATAATATAATTACATTATGATCCATGGTCATTTAATTGGTGCCACGACTATATATATATATAGTATATTATAAAATATATATATATTATATATATATATATAGCTATATATATAACTTATATATATAGTATATATTATATATATTATATATGTTAAAAAAACTTATATATATATATTATATGGAAAAAGTGCTTCTAACTGTGACGTCCCTTAGAATAAATCATCCTCACTAGTGAGCTAGGCCTAGTAGATGGCCACATGATTGGCGTACATTGTGGATTGATCCGGTTCAGTTGAAACATCTGAGGGGTCCGACATATTCTAAAACTTCCAATCATACAAATTATGGGGTTGAGCCATCGTGCGTTCGGACCTCCCCGAAAAAGTGCGAATTCGAGCTAGGCGGTCTTCTATCTCCAACGTTTGATACCCAAGTCTCAGTGCAATCAGCGACAGCGCAAATGTCAGGTGGAACCGACACGAGAGAAACTGGCACCCAGGAAGACAAAACATACGAAAAAGTATGAAAAAAAAGCGGTGTAATAGGGACAGAAAACAAAAAAAGAGACCGAAAGTGATGAATCGGTAAAGCAAAGAGCGGAATGATGGAAAGGTTGCACAACAAGAAAATGAAATAGCGGGGTGGAAGAGCGAATCACTAATGAAAACGAACGAAAGAGGAAGTAAAAGAAAGAAGATCGACCACAAGTGAGCGCGACAGAACAACGCAACGCCAACGCATCTGGTCAAGGCCAAGAGCGGGCACAATAAACACACAACGGTAAAAACAAAAAAAACAGACGAAGGCACCTCAGCGGGACAGGTTCAACTGCGGGACTGGCCGACGTCGAAGAAGCGGCTCTACTCAAAAACGCGAGCCCAAAACATGACCAAATCCGGCAAGGGCAGACAACGCGGGGCCGCGGCACCCTTGTGTGCCCGTCCACGGCGACTAGAGTCAGAAACAGAACAGCATGTCCCACACCGACAACCAGGCCCGTGACTGGTGGAGGCCTCCCGGTCGGAAAAAAAAAACCCAGCCTCATTGTGAAAAGTTCTATTCCATTCGAAACGCTTAAAATGTACGACGGTGGATGAATTGTGTCAAACGACAACGGGTTCATCCCAAACTGGATGTGTGGGGTTTGTAGGAGTATGTAAATCGAAGGTAACGGCCCCCAGACCAGAGTCATCCATAATACTAGCATCAAATCTGTGATTTTAGTCCGGTCCTTAGATGATTATCTAAGGCGTCGCTTTAGAACACTTCTGCCATATATATTATATATATATATATATATATATATATATATATATAAAGCATGATATAGTACTAAGAGTATAAGCATATAAGATATATATAATGTAGTTATAAGTATACTTATATGTGTATATTATAGAATTACAGTTATATAAGTATATATAAGTGCATAAGTATAATTATATATAAGTATGTTGCATCTAGTATATATAAAAGTATATCAGTAAACTGTATAACTGTACTTAAATAAGCATAATGTAAGTATGTAATAAATACATATATAACTATATAATACATATTTATAAATAAGTAATATATACTTATGTTATTCTCTCTCTCTCTCTCTCAAGTTATAAATTATAAGTATATACAATATATTTATTTATAATATATGTATATATAATATATAGCTATATAATAATATGAAAGCATATACTAATACATACTTATATAAATATAATAAGATTAATTTAATTTTTTTAACAAAAAAAAAGAAAACAACCGAGCAGGCCTGGTGCCCAGCCCAATCGGGCCCGGGCCACGGATTTTGCCTGGCCAAGACCCTGTTTTACGGGCCGATCCGGTTGGACATGGCTAATTTTACCCAAAAAATTTAAAGGAACGATCTTTTTATACCTTGACTTCCGCTAGGACCCGGCTGATTTGCTCCGAGATCCGACGAGTCCGCCACAGTAAAACGATTTCCTTTACAGAAAAAAATTAAAAATAACAAAATATAATTAGAAGCTTATTAAAAAATAAATTAATCTCTATAACAAGCAATAAATTAATCATAAAAAAAATTCTTCTAAAAAGTGACAAAGAAAGTTGCCATTTAAGCTAGCTTGACTAGCTCATCCGTGGTCAAACGGGCTGAACAACATATCAGGGTTCATTGCCATGTCAAAATCATTAATCACTAGACGGACAGTTGTCTAAAGGAGGGTTAGTCCTAAGATATACTCCATGTGTTGGATTTACTAATGTTCTAGTTTTATTTTTGCACATGAAATCCATATTAAATTTTTCCGGTTATTTTATCGTCAGAGAAAGAGAAAATTATTTTTTGACAATAAGACCCTTTAAGAGTGAAAGAGTAAATAAACACACATAAGTCTAAAGGAGGGTTAGTTCAAAGATATACCCCATGTTTTAGATTTACTAACTCTCTAGCTTTATTTCTGCAGATGTAACCATAATCAACTTTTTTTCACTATTTTACTGTCACAGAAAGAGACTATTATTTTTGGACAAATAGAACCCTATGAGAGCGAAAGAGTTAAAAAAAAGTCACTCATGGGACCTATTAGCAAATATAAAATAAGACAAAAGTAAGTTTAAAACAACGATTTTACAGGGAGTCTATCCGAAATTAACTTAAAAATAATATAAAATATGTTTAAAAATTACCATTGTGGACCTCGTTCATATCTCGACCCATCCTCGAGCTGTCGAATAAGTATGGCTTGCCCATGGGTGAGTACAACAAGACAGCGACTTCAGCACCATATAGAGTAGCGAGCTCGCTGGCTTTAGAGAAAATGTCAGTTTTGTACTTTGAAAAGCACACGCGACGAGCATCTTCGCTCTCAAGCCTTTTCATCTCAATCTTCTGCTTTTTGATGGTTATCTTCTTTTTACTTGGCATAGTGGTTTGTGGGAGAAGTTAGGGTTTCTGAATAGCGCTTTTTTTATAGAGAAGGGAGGAGAGAGAACGTAATGATGTGATTTAGGAAATTATTTATTGGAATATGTATACAATAGAACATTTCACGTGCGAGCTAAAATAGTTTTAATCAGAATCATCCTTTAATTCCTGATGGATGGCTGAGAAGGGTTCTAGGCATCTCGTTCACATGTTCTGAGAAAATTCGTAACTCGATTAATTGGAATATTCTTATTAATTTGGTGGTTAATTAATTTTTGGTTGACAGTTATCTGTAAGTATTCTGAGAAATTTTATATGAAGATAAATACTTTCTATATTTGCAATTCAACCGTTTTCTAGAAGGAGCAAATTTTTTAAGTTGGTCAAAGTAATCATTAAAAGGTTAAGTGACTAGCGTATGCATTGCATTGGTCATGTTTATCTTCTTAATTCATAGTGATGAAAATGTTGATCGCTGCGGAAGCTAAACAACCAAACCAACGTGCTACGAGAAATCAAATCAAACAAACATCGAGAGAAGGCCAAACAAACCAAATCAATGCCACAAATACAAACAACCAATTTTAACGTGGTTCGACAAGTTGCCTACGTCCACGGGGAAAGAAGGGGATAGGGTTTTTCACTAATAGAGAAGAAGAGTACAAACTAAGATAACAAATCACTCAAACTCACCAATTAATCTTACCAACAAATCTATAATTCTCTCCAAACGAAACCCTAACCAATAGCTTAAAAAATACCTCTTTTCTGTGCTCCAAATATCTCCAATTTTCTTTTCAATTCTCTCTTCCAATTGTTCCATATATATAGAAATCCTAAAATCATAAACATACTAGGAATTCTAAAACAAAAAATAAAACAGATTAGGAATCCTAATATCCTGTTACCAAAACAGATTTGGAATCATGTTATAAAAACAGAATTAGAATCTGCTATCCAACAATTCTCCACATCGGCGAAGTTTTCCCAAAACTAAGCCGACACCAATACCAACCAAACGTCTCACTTGTTGTGTCTAGTACGAAGTGGAACAAATTCACGACAACAGACTCAATCCACAACAAGTCGAGAACCCAAACGAGAATGCGAACAAACTCCAAATGACGGTATCAACTCACCAAATTGGATGCGCCATAAATGACTGTCTACGTATCCTCTTATCCAAGGAATCAAGCATTCACGTAGTTCACCCAAACGGCCTCCAAAGGCCCTCAATCAAATAGAAAAGTTTGCAACTCTTTACCAATATCACCAACGGATCTGCAACTGATAGAGCTCCCAATGGCCCCAAACTGAAACAAATCAAACACCTCCACCTGAGGTGAACCAATGGTCGTATCCAAAATATATCCACCAGCTGCACTCGAATCCAAAATCAACTCATCATCTGCATCCAAATCCAAATGATCTCCAAACTGTGTCACCTCAGCTAGAATCCCAAATGATACAGTATGATCTGGAATATGTGGAGTGATCTCTAACCAATGTGATGTAACATCACCCTCCACCCGCTGTGATATCCTAATAATCTGATCAATACTCTCCACCTGTCGAGAGTCAAATCAAATGTGGCATACCTGCTCAGAACAAAATCAGAAGCTCCTAACTGATAATCAAACGAACCTCTGAATCCCAAACGTGCAATCGGATCAAATCTTATATCCTCGATGTGACCAAATATTAGGCAACCAAATATCCAACGCAACCCAAAATCTAAAGCAGCTCCATCAGATCCAAAATCTCTACACGCAGCAGTCGGCAATCTATGACCAAGATGATCCAAATATGTCAAAGCTCCAAAATCAAAACCAATGCTCGACAACCAACGTTGATCCCCCTCTAGTAAGGAACGACCCATCAAAACTATCATCACATCTCGTCACCCCAATGTCTCCATATCAATGAAGTGTCTCAAACTGTCATGAGCTCGGCACAAATACAAGAAAGAACCCTTACCAAAGCTAGAACGACGGGTTACTTTTCTACCAATACACTTCTTCCAATTGTTGTTGACTTCTAGAACTTCACACCAACGGGACCTGGTTACAACCCACTAATGCCTAGAACAATCCCCAACTACGGAAACCAAATACCGATTACCTCACAATGATACCTCCTTAGAAAGCCCCCAAATGCCTGACTGAACACCACCTAAAAGACCTCTCGATTGATGGATAGAAGTGCCAAACTCCACATCGGTCTTCTTGCCCATACCAATGTACTCAAAGGACTTCAATCTGCAGGTCAAAGCACTCTTTAACAAACCATGCACGGCATAACTAATCAAATAACCCAGCCTCAACAAATGCCACAGTCTAGCCCAATCCAAAAAAAATCGTTAGCTCTCTATCAAACACTGTGCTCCCAATCAAATAATACAAATTATTTCTCCTGACACCCTTCATCACAATCACGGATCACAATATGACCTTCAAACGTGAATTGACCAAGGTCACCCTATAGCCTGTTGCCTCCAAAACTCTAAGTGAAATGATGTTCTTCTTCAACCGAGGAATGAACCTCACTCCAACCAACTCCTGAATCACTCTGTCACTCATCTTAATCCGAATGGTACTGAAACCACCAATAGGACATTCATGATCATTACCCATGAGTATGACCTCCCCTCTTTCCAACTCTTGAAAGCTGGAGAACCAATCCCTTCTAGGGCAAATATGGTAAGAAGCACCCGAATCCAACATCTACTCTGTAGAGTCGGTAACACAAACTGACGGTAGTGCAAATAACGAGTAGCCCGAAGAATCCGAATCTAAATTATTGCCACTAACCTTGACAACATTCACCTCTGAAGCTTGAATAGTTTTCCTCTTATTCTTCCCGGCTCGATCAACCAACTTTAGGCATTCGGCTTTTCAATGTCCATCCTTTTTATAAACGGCACACTGATTCCTACTAACTCAAAGATATGCCCTTCTAGACTGAGACCTCCTATCACGATTTGGACTCTTTGCTCTTGTGACCAATGCTCCCTCTACTGGCTCAACTGAAATCTCTTTATTCTTCTTTCGAAACTAATAGTTCACAAGTGCAGTGGTGACCTCACTATAAGAAAGAGATGTCTTCCCATTAATAAGAGTAAGAACGAAGGTCTTATATTCCTCGTCAGGTAAGAAACTCAACAACAACAACGCCTTGTCCTCATCTTCAAACATCACATCTACATTCGCCAAATCCGCAAGAAGCTTCGTGTGGTGGTTCATGTAATCACCAATAGAGGTTTCCTTCTTTAATTGAAAGCGATAAAGCCTCCTCTTCAAATGCAAGTGGTTCTCTACACTCTTGATCAAATACTTGCTCTTTAGGATCTCCCAAATTTTCTTAGCCGAAGACTCATTGATCACATCATATTTTAAATCTTGAGTCAAACAAGATCTAATCACACCACACACCGTTCTATTCATCTTTTTCCAAACCTTCTCCTTAACGTCGTTCGGTAACCCATCCAACTCCAAAATATCTTCTAAATTTTGCGCATTGAGCGCATCTAAGACTTCACATCTCTAAAGACCAAAATTATTTATGTCATTAAACTTTTCAACATCTATCTTCATAGAGTGGATATTTAAACTTTGGGCGGTCTTCACGTCGGAAGTACCCTCCACAACTCCTTCTTTCCCGACCATCTTTCTCAAAACACCAAAACAAATGCGGAACAAATAAAAAATAGATCCAAAACTAAAAAAAGATAGAGTCTTTACCAAAAAAATCACATCTTTATCACCAAAGCCCTAGGCGAGCCTCCAATACGACCTACTCCTCCAAATATCTCAAGCGTAACTCGAGCTCTGATACCACTTGTTGAGCGCTACGAAAGCCAAACAACCAAACCAACGTGCTACAAGAAATCAAATCAAACAAACATCAAGAAAAGGCCAAACGAACCAAATCAATGCCACAAATAAAACAACCAATTTTAACGTGGTTCGGCAAGTTGCCTACGTCCACAGGGAAAGAAGGGAATAGGGTTTTTCACTAATAGAGAAGAAGAGTACAAACTGAGATTACAAATCACTCAAACTCACCAATTAATCTCATCAACAAATCTCTAATTCTCTCCAAACAAAACCCTAACCAATAGCTCAGAAATATCTCTTTTCTGTGCTCCAAATATCCCCAATTTTCTTCTCAATTCTCTCTTCTAATTGTTCCATATATATAGAAATCCTAAAATCATAAACATACTAGGAATTCTAAAACAAAAAACAAAACAGATTAGGAATCTGTTATCCAAAAGAAAAGATTTGTTATTTTCATTTACTTTTTGAATTGACATTTTTTTCCTTCCAGAAGAGTAGTATGTATGTATTTGTAATACCTCGACTGAAATAGACCTAAATGATTATAATGGTTTATACTTGTTATTGCTAGTAACAAGCCAAATTTTAATAAAATATATTTATTGTATTTTATGAATTTGATTTTTAGATAAATTTTTTTAAATATACCATTTTTATATTAATTATAAAAACTGATAGAAAATTTATTTAACTAGAAAAATCGACCACTATTTAGCTACAATACAAAGCTTTGAAAAAATGATGGGTTACTAATCTAGTATAATTAGTGCTCACTAATAACAAGTTAATTGTAATCTTAAAACACATGAGAATAGTACTCTTGTGTTTTTCAAAGTTTGTTTGTACTCTTTTTGTAGTGAGTTTTTGGCACATAAGAAAAAAATGTTAGCCTCATGGTTATGAGCCTACTCCATAATCTTGTTTTGATGATTACAAACAATTTCTAACATTGTGTGTCGAGTGCTTATATTTGTTTTGTTAGGTAATCTACACAAATATCGAAGTCAGAGGTAGGATAGATTGCGTCTTAACGATCATATCAAATGGAGGTTGGCGAAAATAGTGGAGTGAAGCAATACATTTCAAGTCAAGATCCAAGATCAAGCTTCATCCGCATAGTTTACCAAGACGAGCTTTATTAAAGATCAACAGCTTGGGTATATTGTTTATAGTGTTTGTAGTATAGGTTTATACTTGTGTATTAATACTTAGAGTTCAATCTTATACACACATACTTGGTTTTATAATTTTCAAGTTTGAATATGAAACAATTTTACTTATTTATGTACATACATACATGTTTCATATTTATCATTTTTGGTTTTGGTAAACAATGTGTTTAGCCACATAAACATGTAAACTCAATAAGTGTATATAAATATATTTTCATGTTTATATGTGCTTAAGATGATTTCATTAATCAACAAGTTTAAAATCAATGAAATCATGTTTATTTGCAAAAATATGTGTTTATGAATTAAAAACTAAATTATACCATTTTATATCTTTTCCTATGTCCATTAATCCATTCAAAATGAATATGCAAGTTTGTTTGTCAAAAATATGTGTTGTTAAGTTTTTATATTTTTAGATTATTTTGTAAAATAAAGATTTTCCATAATTAAGAGATGCAATTTTAAAAATTCTTTTTATAAGATGTTCATTTTCATGTTTATAATCATTTCCCAAAATTTTACATTTTTTAGAATTTATTTACTATTTTTTAAGACACTTTAAAAATTAGATTTCATACATAAATAGTGCATGTGCATGTTTATAAGTTGACTTATATACTGTAGCAAGTCGACTTATGAACTGTTCTGAAAAGTGCAAAATCTTTATGCTAAGTCGACTCATGTATCCTGTAAGTCGACTTGCTATAAGTCGGCTTGTAAACTCTTTTAAATCGACTTATGAATTGTTCTCATGTTTGTTATTTTTATCTGCTGAGTCGACTTACAACTGAAACAAGTCGACTTATAAGTCGACTTATGAACTAGTCATTGCACAGTAACGGTTAATTTCTAGTTTTTAATTATTTTAATGTTTTAGGGTGTTTTTGGTGTTTTCTTGGGCTGGTTTCTTCTACCCTTTATATACACATTTGCCATAACTATTTTGCAACAACCAAGAGAGTTTTAAAAACAAGTTTAAGAGTGTTTAAGTTTTATTTAAGTGTGTTTACAAGTTTTGTTTGTGAAGAGATTTTCACAAGAAAAAAAGAGATCATCCATTCATGTTTGGGCTTTCATCTCATCTCTCTCTCTCTCTCTCTCTCTCTCTCTCTCTCTCTCTCTCTCTCTCTCTCTCTCTCTCTCTCTCTCTTGATTTTCCGAGAAGTTTATGCTAAACTCATCTCTAGCTCTATTTATATTTATGATCATAATCCCTTAAGCTAGATTACTTTTTGAGTTTGCATCTTATATTTTCTCATTGATTACGCACACCCACTTGAGGTTAAGTATTTCATACATAGTATATTTGGGGTTATGAGATTGTATTCATTAAGAGTGAGCTTACATTGAGTTCTTATCCATTATAGAGAACAAATAATTTGTATTTGTACTTTATTTGTGAGATAAACTTTGTAATATACTTGTACACCGAGATGAGTGTATGGTGAGAGACGGGGTCAATTCCAAGAGGAGCGGCGTAGGTAGTAAAGCCTAGGGAGAGGTTGTAAATCCGAGTACTTGAGGAAGACGACACGGGCTAGAGACCAACATTTAGAAGGTGTAAAGTATGGTTACAAGAGTATGAGTTGTGAAAGTATTCGGTGAGCTAGAAAACCGAGATTGTGAGGTGTAAACGTTTTTGGGTGAACGTCGAAAACTCATCGTGATAGTGGATTCTCCCCGGGAGTGAAGAGCGGAGACGTAGGTCGGAATGACCGAACTCCGTGATCATTTTGTGGGTTTGAGTTTGTCTTGACGTTACATTTGTGCTTATTATTTATTTCATTATATTTCGCCATTGCTCATGTTTATTTCGCCCTTAGTTTAATATCCTTGCATATAATAATTTTTTAATATCATTCTTGCTAGGATAATTAGTTAATAAGTTTTTAATTGACATTAATATCGGATTAGATTAACATTAATCCTATTCGCCACCTCTCTAGGGTTCTTTCAAAAAATTATAAGACTGCTAATTACACATGACTATTAGCCCGATGTGATTGGTGAGTCTACTTACTGACCACTTATTAGATGAGACCGACATTTCGGTGTTTTGTCAAAACCTATATTTTTCAAAATACATTACTTTTCATCCAGTCATGCTAACATGGGTAAGAAGTGCTCGATTTTGCTAATGAAAATAATCTAGGGTCGATTTTGCTACTTAAAATTCTAAGGGTCTATTTGGATGTTTTCCAAAAAAAAAGGGAAATGGAAAACTCAGTTTTCAAATGAATTCACCACATGTCATGACATTTCCCACTTCTTTTTTGTTTCGCCAAGAAATCTCCCCATTTCACCGCCAAGTCACACAAAAAACAAAAAAAGCCGCAATAGTAACAGTGCATCACATTTCTATTTCTTGTGTTTGTTTGAGAACAGAAAGAAGGAAAAGAGAAATCAGTCATTTAAATAATATGTTTTATTCAGCTTCACTATTCCAATAGTGCTTTTACTAATAAATAATTCATTAAAGTGATATTTCCAAGTGTTTTCAGAGGTTTTTGTTGTGAAAACACATTTATTAAAAATGTGATGTGGCATCCTACTTGGCGTTTCATTTCTTTAAATTTCAAAACGAAACAAACTGAAGAAATATAAAACTCTTGAAACCAAAAACCTATGTAGCACATAGGGGATTTCTTGAAAGGTGAGGTGGCGGGTGTTTTCTCTTTTTTTTTTTTTTGGGCTGTTTGTTTGCCTAAAAAGAGAGGGAAATCAAGGAAAAGGAAACCTATTTTTAAGAAAAATAGGTTTTGGGATTGTTTGGTTGGCTAAAAAAAGAAGGAAATCAAAGAAATGGAGATGAGATGAGATGAGTTGGCAACTTATTATAGGATGATGTGAGTAATTTTTTAAGAAAACTTGTTTTGATGTTGTTTGGTTGGCGGAAAAAATAAGAAAATGAATTATAAGAAACATATTTCTTGTATTATGTTGTTTTCTTTTGTTTGGTTATTTCTTAAAAATAAAAAAATAGATGAGATGAGATGAGATGAGTTATCATTATATTATTGGATGATGTGACCCACACTTAAGGAAATTGTTTTCCTAGCTTTTTGGAGGAAAACAAAGAAATAAAATATTAATGAGATGAGATGAGTTGTCACAATCTTATTGGATGATGTGAGTGATTTTTAAATATGAGATGAGATGAGTTGAGTGATGTTGTGGATGAAAATAATATTTTATTTAGATATGATGGATGTGATGGATGAGTTGTTGGATGAAAATAATATTTTATTAGATATAGTGGATGAGTTGTTGGATAAAAATAATATTTTATTAGATATTGTGTGTGAGTTTTAGGGATGAAAATGTGTGAAATTGTACTTTTTGAGATTTCTTGATTTTCATTTCTATTTTTTGGTTTTTTAGGAAATAACCAAACAGGCCCTTAGCCAACAAACAGACCCAAAAGCAGCCTATTTCAAAATTTGCGTTCTTTCCTTTTCGGCTTTTTGCTTATGGGCCTGGATCCAATGGGCGAAAGCAAACGGTCAAGAAACCAAAACGGTCAAATTCACTGTCCTGACAGCATTTTAAATCCCAACGGTCACTTTTTCAAACAGAAACAGAAGCTCTCGAAATAAAAGGATAGAAAACTATCCGTTACACTTAAAAGGGGCAAGAAATCCCAATCTCCTTAATTTCTTCAACTCTTTCCTTCTCAATCCTAAATCAAATCCACTATCACAACAAAGGTGGAAAAAAGCAGAAAATCCCCCCAAAATAAGGAAAGAAGAGCAAAGATCGATGGCAACTAGATCTCCTTCCCCAAACCTCAGCCGACCCAGAACTCCAGAGATCAGCAACAACCTCAGGAAGAGCAAAGGTAATCAAATTCCTCTCAACACATCTTTTTCATTTACAAATTTTCCTATTATTTCTTAATCTGATCTTTTGTAGCTTACTTGTTTGTAGAAATTCCCCAAAGGAACTCTCTTTCTAAGCCTTCAACACCCAACTCATCTCCACGGGCCTCCTTCGAACAGAAGGAGAACGTGAAGTCGAGATCCTCTGCAATCTCTTCTTCAAAGGTGTCCAAGAATTTCATGGCACCAACAATCTCTGCATCTTCAAAAGCCATTGTGCCTCCCTCTCCAAGAAAGAGGATTCTTCAAGAGAGGAATGAGGTAATAAACTCAGTTTCTGATTCTGTTGAGTTTTCAATGAAAGAAGTGGGGATTGGTGTTGAGTTTGAGGATATCGTGTCGAAATCCGAAATGGGTTTCGGGTCTCAAGAAGTCTTGAGTGTTGGTCAGCTGAAAAAGGGGGAGTCAAGAATTAAAAACCACCAAAATCCTTCTCCTTTGCAGGCAATTGCTCCTTTAGATGCTGACCCATCTCTCCCTCCTTATGATCCCAAGACCAATTATCTATCTCCTAGGCCTCAGTTTCTTCATTATAGACCTAACCCTCGAATCGAGCAATATCTGAATAGGGAAGGCGAGTTTCTTGATGTGAACAACGGGAGGAGGCTAGAGGATAGCTTCTCTTTGGAGAGCAGTGAAGATGATGATGTGACTGTACTCACTGAGGAGAAGGAGAAGGATTCAGAGGAGAAGGTAGAAGAGGTAGAGTCTGTCAATGAAACTGCTGTTTCTGAACCTGGAAAGAAAGTTGGACCCTTTAAACGTTGGTCATTTAAGAGATACAAATTGGTCCTTTTTCTTCTGGTTTTGGCTATGGCTTGCAGTTATGCACCATTGCCTGATTCGCCCATCATATCTTCTTCCATTTCCCTTCGGAAAATTCACTCCCTATCTTTTCAAACCTTTGAGGGTTTGCAGCTGAATGATTATTTAGCTGTTGATAATGGGCATTTCAATGGTCTAGTTAGTAGGTTCAAGCACTCGTCAACAGATTCAATTGCTTATTTCTCATCAATGAACTTGCCTACGAATGATGATGTTAGTTTGCATCATCTAGCTAATATGTCATCCTTAGCTGTAGATGAGACTGAAGGTTTGGATCTCAGCTGTAAACCCAAGAGTGAAATTGAGCAACCTATTAAGGAAAACTTAGTGGAAGTGTCTTATGATGGTAATGAACCAGAGGTGTCTGCATTTGTTAAAGAAGAAGAAAATGATGATGATGATGGTGCAAAATATAATGCAGGAGAGGTGGAAGCAAAAGACTTGGATGAGAACACTGAAGCTGTTTCTGATGAGGGGAAAGAAAATGAAATCGGTGTATCTGAAGACATAATGGATGCAGATATTGTGGTTTATACTAAAGAGGATGCTGATAATGCTGAGATAGTGGTGTCTGAAGATGTGAAAGAGAGTGAACTTGATGCTCAAAGAATTGAAATGGGGGAAGTTCTCGAAGACATAATAGATGCAGATATTGTGGCTTATACTAAAGAGGATGCTGATAGTGCTGAGATAGTGGTGTCTGAAGATGTGAAAGAGAGTGAACTTGATGCTCAAAGAATTGAAATGGGGGAAGTGCTCAAAGATGTGATAGATGCAGATGCTGTGGCTTATATTCAAGAGGATGCTGATAATATTGAGATAGTGGTGCCTGAAGATGTAAAAGAGAGTGAACTTGATGCTCAAGGAATTGAGATGGGGAAAGTGTTCGAAGATGTGATAGATGCAGATACTCTGAATTATGGGATGGAAAAAGAAATTACTGAAATTATTGAGAACACTGAGATTGTGTCTGAATCTGAAATTATTGGAGATGAACAAAATGGTAACGATGTTAATGCTGTAGGCCAAACCAAGTCTGCTAGTTCTCTCAATAACAATGTAGCATCTAATGTAGATTATCAAATCTCACATGGCCTCGAGCTACTCAAATCAACAAATTATGCAACCATGTTCGGATTAGCATTAGCACTTTCAGCAGTTCCTGCAACCTTGGCTGCTCTTTATATGAAGCAAAAGCAAGTTCCCGTTGTTGTAAAGGAAAGACGAGCAACTAAAAAGGTTGGATCAGTTTCAGGTAGTAGTGAGCCTTGCCCTCGTTCAGAAATGAGCACTAGCTGGAATAACATTTCAAAGAGAGATGAAGAGGAGAATTTAAGTAGTAAGAGTAGGCTGAGGAGAGACTCTACAGCATCCTCCTCGATTTCTTATGGAAGTTTTACCACCTATGAGAAATTATCAGCCAAAAAGGCAAGTCTTTTATCTTGTTCTATGTCCCTTTGTATTTAAAACAGAACCTCGAGTTGTTTACTGACTATAGATGATATTCTTTTGTTATCAGGGATGTCCAGATGAGGAAGTGGTGACTCCAGTGAGACGATCAAGCAGAATTAGGAACTTGGTGATTTCTCCATGAAACAAACAGAAGCTATGGTTCTTTAATTTATTTAACATAAAGATGTCCAGATGAGGAAGTGGTGACTCCAGTGAGACGATCAAGCAGAATTAGGAACTTGGTGAATGGTGATTTCTCCATGAAACAAACAGAAGCTATGGTTCTTTAATTTATTTAACATAAAGATGTTTTCTGACCATGACTTCTTCAATAGTTTCTTTAGCTATTTTTCTTCATTAGTTTCTTTTGCTGACTTAGATCTACGAATCATTTAGGTTCATTTTATTTGTTACTAGATGTTGTACTAAGAAGTTAACAAACAGCCTTTTGCTGTTTCTTGATTAGTTGCATATTTGGCGCCTCTTGCCTTTTACTTCAATATCTCTTTCCCAGTTGTACCTTCTTCATTATATACATGTGGTTTGTTTCTCTACCTCATGTTCCTTGTGCGAAAAAACCCTCTGAATTTTGTAAAATTTTTGATTTGTCTGTTCTGAGAATTAGTCGCCATGAAGAAATTAAATTTCATGTAATATCTGTCTATTAAGTATCTCTTATTTCATCTCATGCAGCAAAATTTAAAGAAATGAGATTTCATTTAACTCGTCCTTGTAAATATGTTCAACATCAAGTTACCAGTGCTTCATGTAAAACAAGAATAAATTGTAAAAGAAGGGTGGAGCGTACCCCTGCCTTGCTCTGTTTGTGCCTGGTGTTATGTCATGCTCTGGTTAATACATAATTGAGAGACATGGATATGGGCTTTTGTAATTTTCTTTTGATTCTTAATATTTCTCTTTACTTGTGATCTTTTGTTGTTTTTATATAAAATGTTCAGAGGTAGAGAAACATGGATATCAGCTATGGTTATAAAAATTTTCTTTTGTGGTTATAATACATAATTGAGAGACATGGATATTAGCTATGGTGTGTCTTTAAACACTAGTAGAACTAGAGGTAGAGAACTCCAAATTAAGGGCTAATTTAAATTAAACAAAAAAATTGTACTTTTGTTTTTTTGTTTTTTTTTTTTTTTTTTGGGGGGGGGGGGGGGGGGGGAACTTTATTTATCTCACATAACCCCCCTTGAACTATGGGGTGTCTCATAAAACCTCTCATTGAACTTTAGCTTATCTCACCTAACCTACATACCTGTAATTTGTAAATAACTAAACTATCTTTGAGTAAAGACTTTATAAAATTTATCATCTATTATTTATAATCAATAGACTCATTTTCCTAATGTTTGAGTTTTTCCTCTCAAGAAAATTTTAGTTATTTACAAATTACAGATAGCGGGATTAGGTAAGATAAGATAAGTTCAAGGGGGTTATGTGAGACAACCTAGGGTTCAAGAGGTTATGTGAGACGACCTTGTTATGCGCGGCGGAAGCTTCTCAGAGTGACACAACAATAACTCGAGATAAACCACAACCAATAAGCAAATCACAACCACAACAAGAACAAACGATTTACGTGGTTCGGCAAGTTGCCTACGTCCACGGGGCAAGGAGGGGGGAGTTCTTACTATTAGAAATCAAAAGAATACAAATAGAGTTACAAATCTTACCGATCAAACCCTAAAACAAAGCTCTAGATCTCTCACAAATCTCTCACAATTGGATGCAACAATCCTCTCTCAAAGACTGCTCAAAATCGTCCTTGCTTAACCCTAATTAATCAGATTTAGGGTTATATATCAACTCAGAAACGAACTGGGTCAAAAACCAAAGCTCAGCCCAAACTGCATCTGCGGTCGACCGCGCAGGTCTCGCGGTCGACCGCGCAGGTCTCGCGGTCGACCGTTTATTTAACATAAAGATGTCCAGATGAGGAAGTGGTGACTCCAGTGAGACGATCAAGCAGAATTAGGAACTTGGTGAATGGTGATTTCTCCATGAAACAAACAGAAGCTATGGTTCTTTAATTTATTTAACATAAAGATGTTTTCTGACCATGACTTCTTCAATAGTTTCTTTAGCTATTTTTCTTCATTAGTTTCTTTTGCTGACTTAGATCTACGAATCATTTAGGTTCATTTTATTTGTTACTAGATGTTGTACTAAGAAGTTAACAAACAGCCTTTTGCTGTTTCTTGATTAGTTGCATATTTGGCGCCTCTTGCCTTTTACTTCAATATCTCTTTCCCAGTTGTACCTTCTTCATTATATACATGTGGTTTGTTTCTCTACCTCATGTTCCTTGTGCGAAAAAACCCTCTGAATTTTGTAAAATTTTTGATTTGTCTGTTCTGAGAATTAGTCGCCATGAAGAAATTAAATTTCATGTAATATCTGTCTATTAAGTATCTCTTATTTCATCTCATGCAGCAAAATTTAAAGAAATGAGATTTCATTTAACTCGTCCTTGTAAATATGTTCAACATCAAGTTACCAGTGCTTCATGTAAAACAAGAATAAATTGTAAAAGAAGGGTGGAGCGTACCCCTGCCTTGCTCTGTTTGTGCCTGGTGTTATGTCATGCTCTGGTTAATACATAATTGAGAGACATGGATATGGGCTTTTGTAATTTTCTTTTGATTCTTAATATTTCTCTTTACTTGTGATCTTTTGTTGTTTTTATATAAAATGTTCAGAGGTAGAGAAACATGGATATCAGCTATGGTTATAAAAATTTTCTTTTGTGGTTATAATACATAATTGAGAGACATGGATATTAGCTATGGTGTGTCTTTAAACACTAGTAGAACTAGAGGTAGAGAACTCCAAATTAAGGGCTAATTTAAATTAAACAAAAAAATTGTACTTTTGTTTTTTTGTTTTTTTTTTTTTTTTTTGGGGGGGGGGGGGGGGGGGGGTTGTTGGGATCACCTAACCTACATACCTGTAATTTGTAAATAACTAAACTATCTTTGAGTAAAGACTTTATAAAATTTATCATCTATTATTTATAATCAATAGACTCATTTTCCTAATGTTTGAGTTTTTCCTCTCAAGAAAATTTTAGTTATTTACAAATTACAGATAGCGGGATTAGGTAAGATAAGATAAGTTCAAGGGGGTTATGTGAGACAACCTAGGGTTCAAGAGGTTATGTGAGACGACCTTGTTATGCGCGGCGGAAGCTTCTCAGAGTGACACAACAATAACTCGAGATAAACCACAACCAATAAGCAAATCACAACCACAACAAGAACAAACGATTTACGTGGTTCGGCAAGTTGCCTACGTCCACGGGGCAAGGAGGGGGGAGTTCTTACTATTAGAAATCAAAAGAATACAAATAGAGTTACAAATCTTACCGATCAAACCCTAAAACAAAGCTCTAGATCTCTCACAAATCTCTCACAATTGGATGCAACAATCCTCTCTCAAAGACTGCTCAAAATCGTCCTTGCTTAACCCTAATTAATCAGATTTAGGGTTATATATCAACTCAGAAACGAACTGGGTCAAAAACCAAAGCTCAGCCCAAACTGCATCTGCGGTCGACCGCGCAGGTCTCGCGGTCGACCGCGCAGGTCTCGCGGTCGACCGCACGAAGCTCGCGGTCGACCGAACACCCCCGACAGAGAACCAAATCCTACAGTCAAACTCGCGGTTGACCGCGGCGATCGACCGAACTGATTTCCCGAGAGATAATCGCCTACAGGGTCCCCGCGGTCGACCGCCACGGTCGACTGCCTTCAACTCCGAATCCTACTGGCCTTCGTGCACGTTCGCGGTCGACCACGGCCGTCGACCGCTAGTCTGCCTCGTTGTTTCTTCAGCTGTTTTCCTGCACTCTCTCGTCATTTCTTCAATTCTCCATTTCGGCGAATGTTTCTACCAAAACTGAGCCGACACCAAATCATCCAATAATCCCTCAATAAGTCTGGGAATAAAGTAGAGCTGAAACGCAATCTCCCCCATCTGAATCAACAGATCAAACCGGTTGCATCTGAAAGACTGCCTATGTATCCTCTTGCCTAAGGAATCAAGCCGAACGTAGTTTACCAAAATAGCCTCCAAAGGCCTCAATCCACTAGAAGAGTTAGCAACCCTTCTCCAACATCACGATCAAGTCTACGGCTGATAACACCTCCAATGGCCCCAAACTGAAACAATCCAAATATCTCCACCTGAGATGAACCAATGGCCATATCCAGACTCCATCTATCAGCTACACTCGAATCAATCAACCTATCATCTGCATCCGAATCAACATGATTCACAATCTGTGTCACATCAGCTGGAATCTCAAATGATACAATATGATCTGGAGTATGTGGAGTAGACTCCACCCAACGTGGAGTAGCATCACCCTCCACCTGCTGTGATGTCCCAACAATCTGATCAATACTCTCCACCTGCCGAGAGTCAAAAGTGACATTCTTGTTCAGAACAAAATCAGAAGCTCCCAAACGATAACCAAATGAGTCTCCGAATCCCAAACGCGCAATCGGATCAAATCTCACATTCACGATGTGACCAAGTGTTGAGTAGCCAAACATCCGACGCAACCCAAAATCTGAAACAGCTCCACCAGATCCCATATCTCTACATGCAGCAGTCGGCAACCTATACATAAGATGGTCCAAACATGTCGTAGCATGCACACCAATACCAATGCTCGACATCAAATGTCGATCCTCCTCCAGTAAGGAACAGCTCCCCAAATCTACCATCTCGCCTCGTTGCCTCAAAGTTTCCACATCAATGAAGTGTCTTCTATTGCCGTAAGCTTGGCACAAACGCAAGAAAGAACCCCTACCATAATCAGAACGTCGGGTTATCTTTCTACCAACACACTTCCTCTATCTGTTGCGAGCTTCTAGGACTTCACACCAACGGGACTTGGTTGCAACCCACCAATGCCTAGAGCAATCCCCAACTCCGGAAACCACATTCCTATTACCTCCTAATGACGCTCCCTTGGAAGGCCCCTGAATGCCTGAATGAACACCCCTCAGAAGACCCCTCGAATGATGGATAGAAGTTTCAAACTCTACCTTGGTCTTTTCGCTCATACCATTGGGTTCACAGGACTTCAAACTGCAGGTCAAAGCACTCCTAAACAACCTATGCACGACATTACCAACCAAATAACCCAGCATCAAACAACGCCACAATCTAGCCGAATCTGATGAAGTCGTCAGCTCCCTATCAATCGTCGTGCTTCCGAGCAAATAATACAAATTTCTCCTTCTGACGCCCTTCATCACAATCATGGACCCCAATGTGACCTTCAAGCGTGCATCCACCAAGGTCACCTTATAGTCTGCGGCCTCCAAAGCTCCAAGTAAAATGATGTTATTCTTCAACTGCGGAACGAACCTTACATCATCCAACTCTCACATCATCCCGTCACTCATCCTAATCCGAACAGTACCAATACCACCAATAGAGAATGCATTTCCATTACCCATGAGCATAACATCCTCTCTTTCCAACTTCTTAAAGCTGGAGAACCAATCCCTCCTAGGGCAAACGTGATAAGAAGCACCCGAATCCAACATCCACTCCTTAGAGTCGGCATCACTAACTGACGGTAGTGCGGATAACGAATAGCCTACAGAATCCGAATCGTTGCCAC